TGAGGGAATGAATAAGACATCCATCCATCCATCCATCCATCTATCCATCCATCCATCCATCCAAAATAGCAAGTAAAGTAAAAGTGCAAGAACAGGAAGTGTGTCCTGTAGTAGGAACTGAGTTGTTGCGGGTTTAAAAATAAAAATCCATTAATTTCCCCTTATTCTGTGCAGAGTCATGATGAGCCTGGAGCTGATCCCGGGCAGCATGGAGCACGAGGCGGGGGAGGCCGGGATGGGGCGCCAGTCTACCACAGGGCATGAGCGCATACACTGAGGGCCAACAAAGGACACCTGGGGTCTGTACTACGAGGCAGGGGAGGCCGGGATGGGGCGCCAGTCTACCACAGGGCATGAGCGCATACACTGAGGGCCAACAAAGGACACCTGGGGTCTGTACTATGAGGCGGGGGAGGCCTGGNCAACAAAGGACACCTGGGGTCTGTACTATGAGGCGGGGGAGGCCTGGATGGGGCGCCAGTCTACCACAGGGCATGAGCGCATACACTGAGGGCCAGCAAAGGACACCTGGGGTCTGTACTACAAAGCGGGGTTACTGGCTTATCAGGGTAACTTGTCGGACTTAAGGTAGTCTGGGCAAAATGTAAGTGAACGAATTTGAAGTCCATTTATACTGTGGTACCTTAAATCCGACAAGTTACCCCGATAACCCCGCTTCGTAGTACAGGCCACTGGTCCTCCAGACAGGGAAATCGGGGAACCTGCAAAAAAATCCACGAGATCACGCAGAGAAGATGCTAATTATTCTCCCCAGATCGCAAATTTTCTCACTTCCTTTTGAGGCAAGAGACTTGAGGCAATAGTTGCTGCATAATTTAGTAGCTCTGTATTAGCTTGGCTGTCATTCAGAGGCGTCCATTGAGTTACAGCAGCTGAATAACTTACTGACTGACTGTGGATTCTCAGGTGACATGGAGATATACAGACGCATCAGAATATCATTTAATTTCATGATATTTAATTACTTTTCCAAGAGGAATTGATAGGCCTACTCCTTGATAATTTTTAGTGCTACTCTCAGTATTGGTAAGTGATCCAGTTCCATAACCAGTATGGCACCGCTATTGCGTGACATTTGATAGGGTTAGGGTTAGGGTTAGGGTTACCTTAGGTCCCCAGAGAGCGATGCGGTGCCGTTACTTCTCAGATCCGGAGATCGTTTGACCCGGCTGGGTCAGGCTCGGCTGAAAGCCCCGCTTCTCTAGGAGAGACGCTTCCGAGCGGTTGACCAGCGGACGCCCACACAGCAGACCACGGTCACATCAACACGCCTTTAAGCTCGGTGTTGATATCTGGCTCTCAGAGAGGCTTGCTACTGCAAAATACACATTACAGAGACATACCAGCTCCTGAAAAACACCCGTGGATTATTATTATTATTATTATTCTACCTTGAAATTGTTAAATGAATAGATCACAGACGAAAACACAGTCATTTTACTTCCCTGTAATACTGGTTGCTTTACACATGATAACTCTTTAGGTACTTTTACCATCTTCCTGCAAACACTTAAAAACTAAGTCAGTGTTGGGGCTTAAGCACCTCCTAAGCGCCTCCTGAGCGCCTCCTAAGCGCATCCTAAGCGCCTCCTATGCACCTCCTAAGCAGCCCTAGCAGCGCCCCCTGCAGGCGCTTCATAAAAAGACATTGATGACTGCAGTTTCCAAGCTCTTACTCCAGTCTTATAAATAAGACCACAATATTTTATTAGCAGAGTGTAGAGCTTCCTTTGGCGGCCGAAACAGCATCAGTTTCTATTGTCCTGCACAGTGGTGTTTGGCTCCAGTCTAGGGTTGGAGTCTAACAAAGTAACAAGTGACCCATTCCTCTCGGTCAGGTCTCCTGACTCGCTCCTCCAACACATCCAAAAATGGCTCAACAATATTCAGATCTGGTGACTGTGTAGGCCATGGGAGATGTTCAGCTTCACTTTCATGTTCACCAGTCTTGCTGTGTCTATTGGTGCATTATCATCCCAATACACAGCACTACCTTCAGGGTACATTGTTTGCACCACTGGGTGAACGTGCTTCTTTAGGATGGTTCGGTAGTCCTTGGCAGTGACAGCAGTCTGGGTGGTGACCCTCTTTGGGGCTTTTTCACACCGTAACTCTCCCGGATCTGGGAAAGACTTTGAAGACGGACTCACCAGAGAGCAATATATGCGTCACATTGTCCACAGCCCAAGATTTGCATGATCGAAATCGACATTTGGCATTGGCACTGTGAAGCTCCCGATTAACAGTTCTGGTGGAATCAGGAGAGTCGAGGTGCACATTTAATTCTGCACTGAGTTGGGCGGCTGTGATTTCCTGTTTTTTGGATACAATCTGGGTTAGTGCCCGGATCAGACAGCTTCCTCTTGCATCCACAGTTACTCCTGTTGGATGTGGTCCGTCCTTCATGGTGGTATGTCGACGTTACCATGGATACTGTGGCTCTCTAGACACCACAAAGACTCGCTGTCCTGGTCACAGATGCACAGACTGGCCACCAGCTCACACACAAATACACATGAAACCTCAAATACTGTCAAGCACGTGTTTCAGTTTCATCGTCCAACCCCCGTATCTCATACGATGTTACAACCTACTCTGAAACAGTACATTTAACATCAAGCTGTTTGACTTTTATAGTAGGCTTGGCATGTCTTCCATCTTCAGTCTCCCCTGCATTGCGAGCAATCACACCATGAAAATGGTGAAATTACTAAATGTATCTTTAATATCTTTCTGATAATTTTCTATGATTAACATATCAGCTCATACTTTCATTGTAAATAATCTATATATGAATCTGGCATCTCATGAAATTCAGTACAATATTAATGTAATCAATTGCTAATGAAGAGGATGAGTCATATTTTCACATTGCAATTATGGCAGCTGCCGAAATTAATCTGCCTTATTGCAGCTGGAAAATGACATGATTCAGGCTCATATTGTATGTTCATCATTTGTATATGTTTTGTTAGACAATTGGAGAATCTGTATAGGGAGTTAAACCAATTATGCAAATGAAAACAATAATAAAATAGGAGTGCTGCTAATGTAGAGTGATGAGGACATCGCACTATATTAGTCTCATTATCTGATATATTTACGGTTTTCTTTGAAAATCTTATATTAAATGGGAGTTTGTAATGAAATTTAGGACACAGATATACTGATGCTCAAGCACGCGAATGCGGATTAAGTGCGGCTCTTGGCACCGTATGTAACTTATTATGCAGGAGTGGGTGCACTCCTATCTCACAACACCTGATACACTTCTTCAAAAAGATTATTACCACGTGGCATCTGCTTGTTAATCTGGTACCATACACTCTACCCTGTGAGGGCTGATAACTATGGTTTTCCATGAAGTCGTTTCATAATACAACACCCATAATTATTCTGATGTATGCAGAATCAGTGTATACAACAGCCCCAAGTTTGCCAGGCTGTGACAATTGATTTGAACCAATTTGACTCTTTGTGCTAAAAAACATAATTGGCTTATAGATGATACTCTTTATTTGCCTTGCGATCGTAGTCTATTGCTTCCTGTAATTACGAATGCATTCAGGGTCTGCTTGCTCTTCACCAAAGAGACCGTGGACATATTTCTCCGGAAAAAAAGGAAGACCATTAGATCCTTTGATGTACTAAAGAGAAAAGCACTTTATGAGAAATCAAGACCACCTGTCATGGCATATATATGATGAAGGCAATCAGACAATACAGGCCTACATGATGCAGAGCTGCACCGGACCTTTCGATGCTCTACCAGGTTGGGGGGGGGGGGGTGAAAATTTGTGTGATTATCAATGATCAAAAAGGGGGGCAGGTCCTCAGGCATCTTCATTGTGGGGCTTCCTTCACCCCCCCACAGTCCAAAAACATCCTGAGGTTCATTGGAGTTACCAAATTGCCCTTAGGTGTGTGTGAACGGTGTGTGTGAACGGTGTGTGTGAATGGTGTGTACGCCCTGCGATAGCTTGGCCCCTCATCCTGGGTTGTTCCCTGCCTTGTGTGTCCAAAGTCTCCAGACCCCTTGTGACACTGAACAGGATAAGTGCCTACAGAAAATGGACAGCTACATTCAGTGACGTCGTAAGTTTGTTTTATGTTTATCTGTCATATACCGCATGCTAGGATGAAAGGGAACAGGGCTCATTTGTACACAAACGATTCCATAGGTCTTTCAAAATCCTTCCTAAAACTGTTGGCATTTATGCAAACCCTGCATACCCAGAACACCAAACCACTAAAACAGAAGTGGAGATTGGTTTATCGGAGCACACTGGAAATCCCTGTTGACTGCGGCATTTTAAATTGGGGGAAAGTGGGCAGCTAAATGACTTTATCCTGACTTCAGAGAAATCATCAGGCCAGAGGTTTCCAGTCATTTCTCAATAACCAAATGACATCTCAGCCTTTGGGACTTGGGGTAGCTGGGTGTGAAAAAACCCCGTTTAGTAAATGGGCTTCTACTTTAGATTCATAAAAAGTCTCACCCAGGATTCAAAATAAAAGTCTAATCCAAAAAGACTTTGTTTATTAAAGCGTCAAAACGGAAGGTTATAAAATAAAATCAATTCAGAGCTTAGTATGAATATGAGAAGCCACATGCAGCCTGGGAGCCTCAGGACATCGACGGCACATTAGCAGTCAAACAAGCTAATTATTTCTCTAATTGAGCCATTTATCTCAGATCATCTTTTGACACACAGAGACAAACGATGGAATAACCATCATTTCCCCTTTAGGCACCAACACCAACCCACGAGGACGTTTGAGCTTACATGCGAGTTTTCATGCTCCTAAATCGACCAGCATCAGGGTCAAAGGTCGCTCTGGCTTATGTCACTGTTAGGCACATGCAGGTCTTTCATAATGTCCACGAGACTCTCAAGTAACTGAGTTTCACACAGAAATAACATTAATGACAAGAGGTGCAGCATAAAATAATTTCTAAATGTAAACACACACACACCTTTAACTTTTATTAGATTTTATTTGAACACAGTCATTTGAAATTAGCAAATGAAAACCCCAAACAATTTCAGGTACAGAAGAATAAATGTGAGACAGAAGACATTATCCTCAAATTCCCTCCTATATACTTAATTCCCCCATAATTCTTCATAGCGTGATTTTCTGCTTTCCCCCGCAGACCCCCCCACTTCAGGCCTCACACAAACATCACTGTTCTCTTTCTGCCATTTTACACCCCCCCCCGCCACCCCCAAACAGAAATGCAATTCAGGCAGCTGGCCTCCTTTCCCGGTCACGATTCTCACAAAAACTCAACCAGCGGGCCGACCAAAAAGCACAACAGACGGGTACAGCGGTACCATAACGGCGCGGCTTCCATCCCCTCGTAACTGGACACAGCGGGGAGGCTCCTGGCACAGCAGCGCTTGACGGAGAGCCCCTTCATGTCAGAGAAAACGCAAAGAACCTCAAACCCAAACGGGGGGAAAATAAAGAGCATCTAAGAGCAGAAACCCGCATCTGCTCTGTAATGAAACCTGCATTGAACCAAAAACCTCCCGGTGCAGAGCTTGAGACACCATGCAATCAGCTCCACACGTACGAGCAGAGAGAGTGTTCACAGTGAATGGCAGGCTGGAGAGACCCTCTCGCCGATACCTCAGCAGCATCTAAGACCTGCCTGCTTTAGTGTGCTTTACTCTTTTGGTGGCACTGAAGATGAGCAAACCTATTCCACAGATAATGGGATCCAAGCGCTAGGAATGTGGCTAAAACCTGCCAAACAGAGTGCATGTACCGGACAAGCAAAAACCACTTCTGAAAATAAATACTTCCCATTTTTTAAATAAAACAACAGGTCATGCATTTGCTATGACCCCCCCCCCCCCCCACCCGAGCAAATAACACATTTAAAAGTCCCATCCCTGACTGTAGGGGTGGGGCGTAAATTATCACCAAATATACAGTCGAGTATATTGGTTGGGTCTATTTCACAGCGCGGAATAAGTAGCATTCAGTACAACTATTAGCTGCTATGGTCAAAGGAACTCACAAATTAACATAGAAGCTCCCCCCTCCACACAATCCACGACACATTAAAATGTACTAAGGGGAGAGCTGGTACTATGTACTGCAACAGTAGCATGCCAGGATACTGTCCACAGTGGCTGATGTCCCAGAGAAACGTATCTGTCGAGAGGTTCTCCTTCACGTGGACGGGCGTCCGTTTCTGAGAACCCTGGTAGAGACCTTTATACCATATTTTTTTTCCCTTGTACCGTATTTATTTAAAATGGAAAAGTATAATGACGTTAGAGACAGGCTAGTTATCTGTGCTTCTCGGCGTCTCGAGCCGGCAGCCGGAGCACCAGGGCCTTGTGGTCCATGTGGATACTAGCTAGAAGGCCGCCGTTGTTCGCCTCCGAGCCCGTGTAGTTAATCTCCTCGCCCTTCAGCGTGGTCATGTGACCGCCCAGCGCCCGCAGGATGGCGTTGCCCGCGCAGATGTCCCACTTCTTCACGTAGGTGATGTGGAGGTACACGTCAGCCTCCTCGTACTTCTCGTCTGTGGGGTTCAGAAGTGCCAGAACTTTGTAACCTATGGATGCGGAAACAGGAAAAGAAAAACACCATAGGAAGGTTCAGTTTCAGTAAATATTAAACAAAATTAAATAAATGAAATTTTTTACTGCAATGTATAAGAGAAACATTACCGATTCATATTGTTTTAACATTTTTTCCCTCAAATTCACTCCTGGACACAAACCCTTGCACCTCTCAAGCAATGCATCCGACGGCGTACCTGCGCCCCCTGCTGGAAAAATGACGGTGTTGTTGCCGAAGGCCGCTTCCACGAAGCCCTTCACTTTGCCGGCGTGAGAGCGCGACACGATCACCCGCGGCGACTTCTCGTTGTACGAGTCACGTGGCTTCACGTTGGATCCGCCATCGACCATCGCCCAAGCTGAAGGGGTGAAGATTAATTTCAGAACATTTTACATTTCAGCTGCAGGCTTCACTTCTTGCAGTATATTTCAATTTAATTGACCATTATTAAAATAATTTAAAAAAAACCTTTACACACTTCGTTATTCTATACCATATATCTTTTGTAATCCATATTTACAACTAAGGGCATAACTTTGGGTTGAGCATGGGGGGTGTGAGGTCTCCACTCTATGAAGGGGGTCGGGGGGGGTGGGGGGGGCTGTTTTGGCTTGTTTTGATTATGGGGGAGGGGGTTTTACATCATTTTACATCTAAATTTACGCAGACTTTTATAACTAATAAAATTGACTGCTAAAATAGGAAGACATTTCATGTTTATTCTCATCCATTTCTTTACAATTACAGATATTTTCAAAAGATAAAAGACACAAACCTAGAAAAATTATCTTGAGAAACAGTGATACACATTTGATATGTGAATGTCAGCACTGACAGTATCATTAATTACATTAATTACAATTACGCTCTACCATAGAGAGTATTCTGTCCTATTGTATTACAGTGTGGTATTCCAGCTGCACTGTAGAGGACCGAAGGGATCTACAGAGAGTGGTGAAGGCAGCTCAACGGGTTATTGGGTCTGAACTTCCAGAGCTGGACTCCATCTATGCTAGTCGGCTGAGACAGAAAGCTAACAGCATTATTGTGGACATGCATCATCCAGGACACAGTCTATTTGTTGCTTTGCCATCAGGCAAACGTTTCAGGACAATTAAAGTGCACACAAACCGACTGAAGAATAGCTTCTTTCCCAGAGCTGTAGTCTTAGTTGTTCCATCACAACCTCACCCCCACACACTTAGACCATTGTAAACCTGGTTTCATGTAGACTTTTTAATTACTGCTCATACTTTACCATAACTACCTCATTTGCACTACAGCAATTGTTTATTGTTTATCATCCTAACTGTATATGAAGTTGAAGGGAAGAACTCAATGTGTTTACACTTTTTGCTCTCTTTTTAATTGATTGGGCATTCCTTTATTGCAATTATTTCTCTACTGTGTAGATTATTATTATTATTATTACAACTTTTAATTTGTGTACTTTTTTACACAAATTAAATTTCGTTGTTAATGTAAATTACAATGACAATAAAGTGTTTTCCTTCCTTACAAGTCTAACATTAAACAAAATGTCAGAGCACGAGACACTAGACAGCAGCTCCTGAAAAACCCTCTTAAGGATTAATGAAATGCAGAGTTTTGCTACGTTAAGTTCCCAGACTCGACTCCCAGTCTGCAACCAGCAGCCTGGACTCAATAACCCCTTTGTACCGTGGACCCTACCGGGCTGCCCAGGGTTCATAAGACACACACCTACTACCGCTGTATAACACCCCCTTATTCAGCTCTCAAACTGGGGCCAATCCTGCCTGTTTGTTTGTTTTTAGACTACATGTGGGCTGATGAACGTATTAAGCATTTTATAATAAACACTGGCATGGCAGATTGGTGAATAGCAGACACAGGCCTACCTGTATACCCAGTAAACGGTTTATGGATTACACCAATAACGGGAGCCCCGTTAACCGCAACGCAAACCATCGTCGTGACATACTTTCGGAGGTTCTCTATCAGACGGAAAAAAATAATGATTAGAAAAATATTTCGGCAAATGAATACTGTATGTTCAACTAGATAATATCATAGATGCGAAGGAGCAAGGGCCGCACACCCGTGTACTCCTGCGTGGCGTCCAGGGGATCGATCCACACAGTGATGCTTTCCGGTAGCACCTCCTGGCTCCGGCCGACCACCTGGGCGATCTCTTCGGGAATCCTACGGTCCCACGCCGGCAGATCCTCCACCCTGGTGTTGTCGTGCTCCTCCGAGTTTACCTGGGGAGCGGGAATTTGACAGCTATGAGCAGATAACACGCAGCCCCGCTGTGGCTCCCCACCCGGCCCCGCCACTGATAAACATCTCTAAATAGGAGCACTTTATACGGTCCCATCATCAACCCCTGTTACAATGAATTATTCAGTTTTAAGATCACAAAGATCTCACGCATAAAGCTGCTCCCATGTGTAAATGATAATTAGATTTGAAATACATGCAATCAAACCATCTTGCGCATTCGCTCGCGCTGCAGTATTGGAAGAGAGCAACCTTCTGCATCGCATCACCTCACCTGTAAGGAAGGAAAGGCGGTTTTTATGAGCTGATACATATTACGGTGGGAGCTCAAGTCCCCCAGCGTGAGCTTTTCCTTGGCTCCTTCCTTGGTCTCCCCCTTTGACTTCTCCTCCAGGGCGTTATCTTCCCGGACTCGCTTCACCTCCCGGCCGCCCAGCACCGCGGCTTCCACCGACAGCGCCAGCAGCTCGCGCAGATCCACCGTCTCGCGCTGCCTGAACGCTGCTATTCTGCCGGACAGCACCCCGGAATAAAGGTGATAGATTATGCCCACCCCCAGTAAGCAAAACACGGCCACTCCTAGCGGAGACAGCCGGATTCCCATCGGAGCCATTTCGGATAGCCTAATCCCAGGAGCTAATTGTCCTACGGAAAATGCATTTGTATTTCAAGACCTTCCGTGCAAATTTATGACTAACACCAATAACGCGATCAGTGCTCACGCTGCTTTCTCTACGGGGACAGCGCAGCTAAAAGAACATCCGGAATAATGAGACCGACAAATACATATATAAGATCTACAAAAACATCAGGCAAAACACAAATCCACGTCCACGTTAAGCAGGGTGGAAAAGGGTAAAGGTTCCGGTTTCTGTTCCAGGTCAGTCCTCCGATTCTTCTTCTAGCTCCGTTCGGATCGTAGTTATAAGGCGCTTTGTGGCGCATCACTCCCACCTAGAGGACGGGATGTTCACAGCAACAACGCGTTAAAATCGTACGTCCGTCCAGAAGACGTCAGTTTACAATTATATTTTCAGATTAGGCTGCATTGTTACACCAAACAAGAATAACAGTGCCGTTTTTTATGTTGTTATATGGCACAGAGCAATATTAAACTTGATTTTTATGCTAAATCCACCGTTATCCAGTAAATTAAATTAACTACATCAGTTTGCCTGCTTAGGAAATCGTGGAATAACGTGTTCATTAACGGCTTTCGTTTTCTTGCTGCGTGGTGTAGTCGTTCCATCTGTAATGAAAGACCAATTCAGCACAAAATAAATAAAGGCCCGTACTTTTGTACATTCTCATCTTAAAATAGAATGCCATTATACAAAATTCACTGCGGGGTTCAAACCATATAATTAGCGGATTTACGCAATAGACAAAATTGCATTTTTCAAGCACCATTTTCATTCACCACTAGATGTCAGTGGCTATGTAATAATCTTACTCTAGTCTAGAACGACAAATACATACTATCTTAGATCTGTACAGCTCGGTGAAAATAGCCCTCTTTAGGCAAATGCGGCGCAACACTTTTCCATAACTATGGGTGGATAAATATATTAATTGTGATTCCAAAATGGTTTATCATTCAAATACCATCTAACAGCATAAACGTATTGTTGTGACACAACTAGGATACGTGAATATATATGCCAGCGTAAATTAAATTTTCCAGGTTTTGTGGCTAATAAAATGGGGTGCGTGGTTAGGTATGTTAGGATGCTGTGCTTGTGATCGGAAGGTCGCTGGTTCAAATCCTGAGACTGAGCAGGGGTTCTGACCCTAATCGCTCTAAGGAATGCCTGGTTATGCTTTCTCGATTATATGTTGCTTTGGATAAAAGTATGTGCTAAATAATGCAACATGGGGGGGCTTTCATACACCGACACCTATGAGGCACCCCCATTGTTAGCAACCACTTGATTTACACGAGGTTACGCGGATAGTACGCTGCAATGATGTACACCGTCCAAGTAACCTCATGCAAGCCAAACGATTGCTAACAATAATCACACGTGGCAACTGCAGACAGTTGTCATGACAACACATGTCCTCCACTGGAATCCTTCAAAAGCTCCCGCACCGTGGGATCTGTGTCCCAGACATAGTAAATCACCGGAAGTCAGAAATGAGAACACTTCGTTCTCATTACTATATTTACAGCTGGACATCGCATGGGCTGTTGTGGGTGTTTGTCCAGTGCTGCTTGTTTGGTGCCTGACTGGGTTGGATCGCGGCTGAATTATACCACTGACAATCCTGCTGTTTGCGCTCACAGGACAGATACCACTGGGAAGCGCTCTGGAACAGACCTGGCTGTGCGATTATACCTCTGCTGTTATGGTAACAATGTTTGCGTCAATAACAGCAGTCACTTCGTATCGGTGTGATTTATGTTTAGTTGTGGCTATAGCTCTTTTCCCCTAATAAGCGATGTTAATATCAAGTCATTGATATTTATTTATATGTAGGCTACATTTAAATAAAAAAATCTATGAAAACCGATTTCATTCGCGCTTCATTTGCATGTTAAGAGTGTTTCAGGTCGTCAGATCGTTGCCAGGACAACAGTAACTTTAATGAATGGGAGTCGTGCACCATCAGGGTGCAATTTCTAATTTTTATTTCTCCCTTGACAAATGTGCCATACTGCTGACTTCCCTCCTGCCCCTCCTCCCAAGTCCTGGGGGAAAGCTTATTCTCTGCAGTGGTAGGGTGAGTGTTATTGAAATGGCACACCTTCTGAACATTTCTGGAAAAATGTACAGAATCATCTCAGTGCCTTGAATCCCAACTTGAAGCCATTCTAAATACATCAGTGCCCCTTGTACACTATATAAAAGAGAAAATAAAGTATTACTAAACACATATATTAACTGCGACGTTTAACTGTCCCATTTTGCCAGGTGTCGCATTTTAGCAATACTCACTCTGTCTTTGTGTATATGAGCGTAGGTCTAAATGGATAGATTGATTGGCAGTTTCCGTTTTTATTGTAACTGTTCATCCTCAAAATGTTTTTTCCCCTCTATTTTCAGAGCCTGGTAAAAAAAATTGCAATAACACACGATGACTAACTGGATTGCTCACTCAGTTTACATGCTAAATTATTTGTTATGAAGCTTCTGATAAGTTTTAGGGTCATGGGATAAAACTTTATCATGCTCTCGGGAGGGAGCGGATGGATATTGTCACCTAGCATTATCTTGTCGAGTTTGTCAGTCACATTTATGAGGTGTTAATTGTGCTGTTGGACACCGATGACCCTTTGATGACGAGTTTCCGAATTATCATTTTAGCGTTATGCTAATGAACCGACGTCACGCCCCCTATTGTCTGGATCTACAAAGACCTTTTGGATTTCACAGCTGCGCTGGGATTTCATTAGTCACATAGCCATGGCTTGATCGAGGGTCTTCTGTTTTCCAATTGCTTTTTAGTTTAGTGTAGATGTTTGTTTATTTTTGGCTCTGCTGTACGCTGGAAGGCATGTCCACACTATGAGCGGCCGCTCAGGTGGGACGCTGATGTGTCTGCTTGGCCGGCATCCAGCCTCTGGGGGGTTGGGGGGGGGGGGATACAGGACAGCACATCATCAGTGTGATGGTGTGTGTGTGTGTGTGGTCCAGGTATACGTTACACTGTGGGGCCCAAATGTCCTCACAATGTGATAAAAACCTGTCATTTTGATGCTGTGGGGAACATTTTTTCAGTCTCCACAAGAGGAAATTCAATTTTATAAAAATCTGTGTCTGTGATCAAAAAACTAAAAATGGCGAAATTCTCCTATTTTGTTTTTGTTTGGTTACTTATGGTTAAGGTTAGGGTTGGGTAGGGGTTACGGTTGTCATTAGAGGTATTAGGGTTTTTCCCATAGAAATGAATGGACAGTCCCCACAAAGATAGGGGTACAGGTCTGTGTGTGTGTGTGTGTGTGTTTGTGTGTGTTTAAACATCTGGACATTTCTGTTCCTCTGCTGACGTGTTTCAGTAGTTCTTCAGATGTTTGAGTGTATGTCCATGTGTACAAATGCATGTATGAAGGGTGTGTTTTGTTCGAGTGTCTGTTTCTACCTCTGAGCATATGACTCTGTCTTTGGACATAGCCTCTGCTTTGTTCATTAAGCTGGCTAATGCATGTCCGCTTTTCTCTGGTCACTGTTGCGGGTCCCTGTGACATGAGGAGGATCACAGGAGCCTGGAAAAGTGGAATCTATAAATCTGCAGGATCTAAAAACCATCCCTTCAGGTGATGTCAACGAACTCCAAGCAAAATAGACTTTGTAGTACACTCTCAATGCTACACTTATGGCATACTATTTCCTTGAATGAGATCCTTGTTTGTTATTTTTATAACAAACAAAGATGGATTAAATAGAATATAGTATTTCAATGGTTACATTTATACAATAGGAAATTAGATGTTGCAAAAACAAAATTTGCTGCTGAGTCGCATGAATATCTTGGATTAGATCAATATTGAGTATCTTGGATTAGACAAACACATGGAAGCAGTATCTCTGCACCCTTTAACATGAATGACTCATAGTCAAGAGGCACCAGGGTTACAGCATTTTGAGAGGAACTGAGAAGTGAAACTTGATGATGAATTTACCGCTATCATCAATCCAACAAGATAAAGCCGCACATTGTAAAAAAGAACAATTTGTTTTAAGAGAGTAAATATTTAGTTTGGATTCATTTAGGTCAATTTCACATAAAAATCGTAATCCTCCTCTCCACTCATCCATCTTCCAGGAAGGCTTACCGAATGCAGGGTCACCATCAGCCTTGCATCTATCTCAGGAAACAGAGGGCACAAGGCAGGGGACACCCCCAGGAAAGGATGCTAGTCCATCACAGGGTGCACACTCACTTGCTACGATTTGTCATAGTGCATGACTGTATGTGTGCCAGTATGTCTGCCTGTATGTGCGACTGTACCCTGTGTTGCCCGGGACAGACTGTATGTGTGCCTGTACCCTGTGTTGCCCGGAACAGACTCTATGTGTGCCTGTACCCTGTGTTGCCCGGGACACACTGTATGTGTGCCTGTACCCTGCGTTGCCCCGGACAGACTGTATGTATGCCTGTACCCTGTGTTGCCCGGGACAGACTGTAAGAGACCCTGACCAAGATAAACGGTCGGAAAGTGGGAAGATAAACGAAAACACAGATACCACATAGTTTGTAGGTGGGTCTGCAAAACCCCCAAATCCTTGAAGTACAGATTTAATTTTTCCCTCCACTGAGTTTCCGTATTGGATTTTCTTGTAGGGTCTTTTGTGTTTATACTCAACACCACACTGAGTCGGCACTGACATTTGAAGATAAATCCCCTGTCTGCCTGAACAGAACCACCACACAACATGCGTCCTGGCAGGCGGAGCAGAAACTCAACCGCTTTACATCAGCAGAGAGAACTGTGCAAGCAGTTTCTACCAAGTCCCACATTTTCGGATCTGATTCCTGGGAATAGGAGACAGAAACATGATGCAGATCTCCATTTAGGAATTGATGTTGAAAGACTAACTCAGAAAATATTGGAGCTGATCAGATACCACCTAGATCATGTTCATGTTGTAGCAATCTGAGTTAGATAGGGAGCTGTAGACATCATCGCCTAAAGTTAAGCCGCTCAGATCATTGACAGTAAATCAAAAGAGAAAGAAGATTCGTCTCTATGGGGGAGATGTTGATGACCAAATGTATCCTGAAATGGAAAAAAAATAGGCTTCTTGTTTTCTCACTGTGGGAGAGCAGTGCTTGTTCGGGAACAAAAGCTTGACATCACTTATGAGGTCATACAACCACTGATGAGGTCATACAACCACTGATGAGGTCATACAACCACTGATGAGGTCATACATGCTACTAAAAGATGCTCTGACATCTT